ACTCACCGCTGAAGCCTTCGCGGCAGGTGCACACGTAGCCGCTGGTCATGTCCTTGCAGGTCCCGCCGTTGACACAGGGATTCGACTCGCACTCGTTGTTGTTGACGTCACAGTTGGCCCCGCTCCAGCCGGGCTCGCAGTCACATTTGTACCTGCAGAGGGGACCTCGGCGGCTCAGGGGCGGCCAAGGTGGGCGTTCCCCGCCCCCACACACTCCTGGCCGCATGGCCCGGAGGCGGCCGTCCCCTCTGACCCTCCGTCCTTTGAGGTGGGGCACCAGCACCCACCAGCCCTGGCTGTGTGGCCCTGAACCCAGTGCTTACCCTCTCTGTGCCAAATGAGGGCACAGGGCCCCTGCCCGCCTCAATGGCCCCGTGCAGACAGCCCTTCTTTCTTTCGGTTTCCACGGTGACCCGGGCAGGCAGGAAACTGGCCAGAGTTTCCGACAATTGTGCGAAGGGAAGCAGGAAGCGGGCGGGGGAGAGCCATGCGGGCACGTAACGGGTGTCACGTAACGGGTGTCAGAAAGAGCTCCGTTCCCCTCTGCACCCTAAGACTTCCGACACCAAACGAGGGTGAAGGGCCCGGGCCCACCAGCCCGCCCCACGTCAAACGCCAATCACAAGCCCTAGGGCCACCTGTGTTTTTGACCGACCACCCACACACAGGGGCTCACACCCCCTCAGCTTGGTAATTTGCTAGACCAGCTCCCAGAACTCAGGAAAGAGCTCACTTACTAGACTTGGGGTTTCTCATAAAAGGGCAGACCCGGGGCAGCCACAGAAGGACGCGCGGGCGAGGGCTGGGCCAGAGCGAGCAGCTGCACCCCCTCTGCGGGCGACAGCACCCTGGCCCACCCCCAGGGCCCATGGTGTGGCCTTTTGGTTTTTAACTCTTTGCACAGCTCTCCTAGAGGGACGGTTCCTGTGACCCCCTCGGCCGGGACGAGAACAGAGGCTGGGGCACCCAGGGAAGCGCCTCTGCCAGCAGGAATGGGGGCCCCTTGTTCCCACATGGAGGGCCTGCCTGCCGGCCAGGACGAGGCTCTGGCCAGGTCCGGGACGCCTCTGGCCGGGCACAGGGGGCCCGACGGCCCACTTCCCCTGGACCTCAGCCCCAGTGTGGCGACCCTTACCCTGTGTGCCCCGGGGACAGGAGCACTTGTAGGTGTTGGTGAGGTCGATGCAGGTGCCGCCGTTCTGGCACGGGTGGGACAGGCACTCGTTGATCTCCTCGGAGCAGTTCACCCCGTGGTAGCCGGCCACGCACTGTCAGGGAGACAGACAAGGGGTGGGGCTGTGGCTCTGTGGGTAGCCGGGGTGTGAGCTGCCCCCCACCCCCGCCATGCTGACAGAGCCACACGAGCTGCCCTCCTGCCTGGTGAAGCCTTGGGCTCCTCACATTGGGCTGACCCGGAGGCAGACTCTTGTCCAGCCGACCCTGAGAAGGGCCCCGATAAACTAAGTCATGGCCCAGAGCAGGGGCCAGGCCCCATCTCCTGAGAGAGATGTGGGGGGTCTCAGGAGGGGTGTCAGGTGAACAAGGGGGAAAAATCCTACAGGAGGGAAACCCTGTCCAACTTCTCAGTGCATCTTCTTCTTCCAGCCACTCCCTCCTCCCCCTCGGGACACCTCCTCCAGGCAGCCTTCCCTGGTTAAGGCATCCGCATCTGCTGGGCTGAGTCTTCCCTACTGAGCTGGCTCCTAACCCAGGGCCCAGCACTCAGTGCCACACCAGACACATCCCTCCCTCCCCCGGGATGGGTCCCCACCTCGCAGGAGTAGCCACCGGGGTAGTCGGTGCAGGTGGCCCCGTTCTGGCAGGGGCTGGGCGAGCACTCGTCCACCTGGTCCTCGCAGTAGCTGCCTGTGTAGCCCGGCTGGCAGCGGCAGTGGTGCGTGTTGTCCGCGTCCATGCAGAGCCCGCCGTTCCGGCACAGGTGGGTCACGTCGATGCCTGTGAGGCGCACGGTGGCAGGAGTGTGAGGC